GTTCACCGCGACACACGCAGACGACCTGGTTTCGAAGTATAGAACAGCCTTTAGTGTGAGTTAGTGATAGGTTCGTGAGGCATCTTAAAGTGTTTTGACACACTGCCAAATATTGACACAATGAGAAAATTAAAATAAAAACGTTCCTGTTCCTTTTAGGCTGCTCCAAGTTAAACTGCAAAAGATGAGACTTTTTTTAGCAGATGCATCATTTTGACAGATACGTTTTTAAACGTGGTTCAGTGAGTCAGTCAATTAGAAACAACTCCTGTATGGGTCACATGAGTTTTTGTAGACGCGCACACCGATACAGTGTTTAGATCTATGGGTGTTACTTGACTCATCACTAGTGTGAGGGATTGCCTTCGAGTCAATGAGGTGATGCAATCAACTGGTTTTCCTTAGATAGAAAACTGAATCAATTTAACTGGATGATCTGGTGAACTGTAAAGTTTCTTGAGATGATGTGTGTTGTGAATTGGCGCTATAGAAATAAACTGAATTAAATTTAATAAGATAAAGAAAAAAGTCAAATTGCTGGCTTAAAATATCAGCTAGCTGATGTATAGCATGTATATGTATTCAGACATCATGCCAAAGCTAGGTCCACAGAAGCCAATGTTGCTTTGATTTAGTAGCTTTGTGTTTTTGCAGAAGGAGGTCAGTCGGATGCGCTTCCTTCCTCAAAGAGGCAGAGGACCCCCTCTGACCGGAGCGGATGGGTTCGTGGACATCAGAAAGATGGCGGTGGATACGCCAGGGAGATGCCCAAGTACATCACAGGTAAACATAGCGACGACATATCAATGGAAACTGTCACTGTCTTGTGCTATTGAGCTGATTATTTAAAAGTTTTGTTTTTTGTGCTTTAATGAAAAATGAAACTTCCTCTTCATTATGTATTTATTTATGGATGTCTTGCTCTATTTTTTTTTGGTGGATCTTTTCCAATATAAAGTTTGGTTGTGGAAGTTGAGCCTCAGAGCTGAAAACCGTCATTCATCATCAGCTGGATGTTTAGCCGGTTTGCTCTCCTTCCTCCTGGTTCAGGTGGAGCCTTCGCCCGGGCCAGAGCTGCAGAGGTGAACGCCATGCTGAAAGCCGTCACCAAGACGACGGGTAGCAGCCAGGTGTTTGCGTCTCTTCCCAGACACATGAGGCGAAGAGCCATGAGCCACAACACCAAGCGTCTCCCTCGCAGGCTGAGAGACCTCGCCAACAGGATGGTAACTCTTGAGGCCTGTTTTACTGTTAAGCGGTTAGGAATCTGAACGCCCCTCACTTTTCACTCGCTCCTGCAGAGGGAGAAGAGCCTCCAGGCCGGCCCTAAGAAGAAGAAGGAGCCTGCGAAGGGCAAAAGCCGCAAAGCCCGCCGGCGCCATGGCAACCTGCTGCTGGAGTTCAACCGGCGCCAGAGGAAGAACATTTGGCTGGAGACGCACATTTGGCACGCCAAGCGCTTCCACATGGTTAAAAAGTGGGGCTACTGCCTCGGGGAGAGACCCACGGACAAATGCTACCGGCCGTGCTACAGAGCAATGAGCAGCCACTGCCTCCTACAGGTAACCATGGCGACAAAAGGGATATTTTGGGTTACTGAAAGGATTTCATCAGTAATCTCTGTTTTTTTTGTCTATTCAGGATCTTTCTTATTACTGCTGCATAGAGTTAAAGGGGGAAGAAGATGAGCTGCTGGCTGCTCTGTCTCAGCTGACGTGTAAGGAAGCCGGTAAGATCCCATCGCTCCTGAAAACTACTGATTTATTCCTGTAGAGTCAAGATTTATGTTTAGATCCTGTTCTGGCATCTTTCTTTCTAGGTCCCACATTTGCTGCAGCTGTGAGCCTCTCTGGGGGCAGACAGGGTAGTGTCACAGTGTACAGGGCGGGCCAGTACCCTTCCCAGCCCCTGGGACCTGTTTCCTACCTGTGGAGACCCAGAACACCAGGGGAAACCCACAGGCAGCTGTGGATCTGGGCTCACCCCACTCTGAAGCAGGTATGCCTGGTCTCCACGGTGTGAATGAGTCCGTTTAGAGGAGATTGGAACCAGATCTGTCCTGCATCCTAGGACCTTCTCCCTGAGCTGCAAAGCGTGTGCCGGTGTTCGGAGGCCGTGGCGCCCCCAGTTGAACCAGAGGTCTCGAATCCAGAGGCGGATCACGTAACAGTGGCAGAACCGAAACCTGGAAACAAAGGGAAACCTGGAGCCAAGAGAAAGAGAAGCTGCAAGGATGCTGGTGAACCGCCTCCAAAGAAGATTGTAGGAGATGGAACCAGACTGCCCAGCACCCCCGTTACCTGGAAGTCCAGCTCCACTGGAATAGTCATAAAGTCAGTTCAGTGTTTGACAATAAAAGCTGGGATCCATAAAATTAACCATGGTGTTACTGATGTTTAGTTTTTATCTGTTTTCAGCGATCTCACAATGGAGATCCTACGCTATCGTCTGATTGGACCGCAGTCTCATTCTGTGCTGGCAGAGACTTTGGAGGCAGCTACAGTCTGCGATGGAAGCATGAAGGTGAGATGAGCTTCAGCAGCGTCTGAGCTGGTTTCTCACCCTGGGAAAGCGAGGGAGATGAGATTTTGTTTACTTCTTCAGGAACAGGAGCCTTTACTCTGGTGGCCTCAGCATTGCAAAGATCAGAGCAAC